CAGGGAACCATGATCTTACCACCGTACTCCCACCTGGGCAACAGAGGAAGACCCTGTCTCAAAAAAAAAAAAAAAAAGAAAAAAGAAAAGAAAAAGAGAAAGAAAAGAAAGGAAAAGAAAAAGAAAGGAGAGGGCAAACACTCCTGTGTGGGGCAGGTTGGAAGACTCTGGGAGACACTTCTGCAAAGATCATAGTGACAGACTCTATAAGGTGAGTGAGCATATTTAGAGGCTCAGGCAAACTGACAGAAGGCTTGAGGTTGACATTTATGGTGTGCTATTAGGTAGGCAGATGCTCTTCTAAGACACTTTGCATAGGAAACTTATGCAATAGATGTATTTATTGTACTTATTTTACAGAAAAGGAAAGAAGAGCAGAGCAGATTAACTAGATAGTCCAAGATCACGCAGCTAGTAAGAAGCATCACAAGGCTCAAAGCCAGGCAATCTGACTTCAGAAACCTTTTATTTTTATTTTCATATTTTTCTCTCCATTTCCAAAGGTATCAACAGAGACTTCCAGAAAGCATCATTTTATACTGACTCCCCACAGAAATAGAAATGTTACCAATTAAGAAAAAGAAAAAAAATTTAACTTCAGGAAAAGCAGAAAATTGTGTAAGAAAGGAAAAATAACTACAGTTGTCTACATGATGGTGTTGTAAATGGCATTTTCAGAGTCATAATAACATAAATATTAAATAATAACCTAACTAATACGCAGTGATGTTTAAAATATTGAGGCTGGGTGCGGTGGCTCATGCCTGTAATTCCAGCACTTTGGGAGGCCAAGGCGGGTGGATCATTTGGGGTCAGGAGTTCGAGACCAGCCTGGCCAACATGGTGAAACCCTGTCTCTACTGAAAATACAAAAATTAGCCGAGCATGCTGGCACACGCCTGTAGTCCCAGCTACTCGGGAGACTGAGGCAGGAGAATCACTTGAACCAGGAGGCGGAGCTTGCAGTGAGTTGAGATTTCACCGCTGCACTCCAGCCTGAGCAACAAAGTGAGACTCTGTCTCAAAAAAAAAGAAAAGAAGAAGAAAAGAAAAGAAGAAGAAAAAAGAAAAGAGAAAAGAAAATGAAAGGAAAGAGAAAAGAAAAGAAAAGGAAAAAGAAAAAGAAAAAGGAGAAAAGAAAAGGCAAGCACATAACAGCAGGGGGAGCTGTCAGACTGCCACGCGGAACTGACAACCTCCCCAGCACGGTGCAGAGTTCCGGAGCAAAGATAAAGGAATTTCACAGTGGAGAGGATTGGGCAGGCCATTGTTCCACCACCTAGCTCAGACATTTGGAAAAGAGAAGGACGTTGGTTTGAATATCTAGCTGGAGGCTATCAACTCACCACTTCTGGAAGCTGGGCAGCCAGCCCTTTGATCCTTTTTAAAAATTGATACATAATAATTGTACATATTTATGTGGTGCATGTGATATTTTGATATATGTATGAACTATGGAATGATCTAATTAGGGTAATTAAGATATCCACCACCTTAAACATGTATCATTCTTTTGTGTTGAAAACATTCCAAATCTTCTAGCTATTTCACAATATACAATAAGTTATCGTTAACTATTGTCACCCTTCCATGCTATCAAACCTAGAACTTATCCCTTCTAACTGTATTTTTATACCCGTTGACCTACATCCCCTCATGCCCCGCACCTGACATTTCTTAGAAGACGACATACAAATGGCCAACAGGTATATTAAAAATGCTCAACATCACTAATTAGGAAAATGCAAATCAAAGCCACAAGTAGATATCATCTCACCCCAGTTAAAATGGCTATCATCAAAACGACCAAAAAGTAACATATGCTGGGGAGGATGTGGAGGAAGGGGGATGCTGGTACACTGTGGGTAGAAATGAAAACTAGTGAAACTTTTCTTGAAGGGAGACTTGAAGTGTGTCTCTTAGTATTGGCCATGATATATTTTTGCTGTTAAATTTACAGCCACGGTGCACATGTATTCATGCACTGCTTGCTGTTTGTTTTCCATTTACCTACTTCAACTTTTATGGTCTTATTATTTTAAAATTAATAAATTACTTTAAAATTATTTTATTATTAAATTCAATACAACATCTGTGCTCATTTCAAACAAATATAAAGGGATACAATGAAAACTAAGTTCCTAGGTCAGACTGCAGTTGCCCAAGATTCCCTTTCCAGAGGAACCACAATGATCATTTCTTGCATATCCTTCCAGAGATAGCTATTAATTAATAAGCATGAAGTGTTTAGAACATCCCCTAGCTCGAGGCAAAGACCATACAAGTGTCTGTTGTTAGTAACAATAATAATATTAGGGGGGGCCAGGCACGGTGGCTCACGCCTGTAATCCCAGCACTTCGGGAGGCCAAGGCAGGTGGATCACCTGAGGTCAGGAGTTCGAGACCAGCCTGACCAACATGGAGAAACCCCGTCTCTACTAAAAATACAAAAAAATTAGCTGGGCATGGTGGTGCATGCCTGTAATCTCAGCTACTCGGGAGGCTGAGGCAGGAGAATCGCTTGAACCTGGGAAGCGGAGGTTGCGGTGAGCCAAGATCGTACCATTGCACTCCAGCCGGGGCAACAAGAGTGAAACTCGGTAAAAAAAAAAAAAAAATAGTATTGGAGGTGGTGGTGTTAGCAGCAGCAAGGCAGTGGTAACAGTAGTAGCAATAGCATTAGTAGTTAGTTGCCTATATCTACCTTAATCTTTTTAAATGGCTGCATGGTATTATAACGGTATAATGTAATTTTTAAAACTCTGCCCTACAGAAGGGACAATGAATAACAAAAAGCTGCTATCATTACCATAGTCTCCTAAACTAATATAAAAGACAAATACATAAATTAGATGTGTCAAAAACAAATTATCTAGAAAACTCTTCATGCCCTGAATTACAGCACTAAAGGGAGAAGTGGGAAGACTTGTGCTAATTTGATGTTGAGTGTGGAGGAGTGGTAGGAGTCATAATTATTCAGTCTCATCTAGTCAAATGTAAGTACTAGAAACTTACACATAACACAGTGTAAGGTGGCATTTCAACTGGCATATGCAAATGTGTTTATTGGCAGAGATTTCACAGACAGGGCCATTAACAAAACAGATTTCTAATTAAATCAGTTTCATGGGTAACTACTGAAAGCCTATCCTCAAAAGATGGGGTCGTGCCCATAGCCTCAATATTACCTTTGTATAGTATACACCAAGTTGCAGAGGCATCTTAATTTCAGCAACTTCTGTCACACTCAGATATTCTCACTTTATAGTAGCGTAGCGTTCATAGAGAAATAACTCTGGGTCCACATTGCCTGGGTGTTTGAATTGTGGATCTGCCATTTATAGCTGGGTGACCTGGGGTAAATTACTTAACTTTTCTGAGCTTCCTCTTCCTTGTCAGTAAAATAGAAGTTATAATAATACCATCTCATAGAGTGGTTGTGACTATCAAATGAGTTAATGTATGTGAAGGACTATATGAGTGTTTCTTTCTATTAGCAATGGTGTATCTTTTTTCATATGTATCTCATTTTCAAACTTAATCCAGTTCTTGTCATTGAACATTTTAATGCTCAGTTATGCCTTAAATAATTTCATTTGAAAGGAAACTATATCCAGATATTAAGTCTCTAGTGACTTATGAAGCCACAAGACTGAACCTAAAACCCAAAGTCATTCCATCAACAAGAAAGTTTTAGCCTTGGCATATTTGACAACAGAGCTGAAGAATATGGCCCTAGGAAAGGCTTTTGTAGTAGACCAGACATGAGAAATACTTGAAAGCAGGACACAGCATTTCCCAGAGGAAATCAGACCAGTGGTACTTGAGAAATGATTAATAATGTTAATGAGTATTTAGCATTCTTGGAAGCATAGCTTAATTGACTACACAGTCCTAGGGGACTAAGAGAATGAAGTGTAAGAATGGAATCTTGGCTCTACTTGAGCCAATTTTTCAAGCCAAGAAAATTAAACAAGGGTAGGAATCCATGTGTCTGAATAGCTCTACATAAAAAGTCATCAAGAGACATCAGGTCATAGTAGGATTAGGAAGGGAAAAAAACATGATTAATTTACAGTGGGGTTGTACCATTGCTTTAAGCATCCTGTCCTTACTTGTGGATGGAAATTTGGAATAGAAAAAGTATGCTATCCTTAAATTTCAGGTAGCTTACATTAACTGAAAGCTACTTGCCCTGCTTTCAGGGGGTATTCCTGAAATAGAATTATTTATGGTGGAGAAAATTGTACTTTAAGGTAGAAATAGCTGAGGGAACCACAGACCCATGTGGTTTTTGGAAAAGAAAGCCCTAATTCCTTAGATGCATTATTAAAATTATCAGTGAAGGGGTAATTGGACCCACAGACTCCTTTTGTATAATTCACTAAGGAACATGAATTAAAGATATTAGCATCTTGGTTGGATGCCAAGAAATATAACAGTACAAATAAAGCCTTGAGGAAACACTTTTTTTTTTTGAGATAGAGTCTCACTCTTGTTGTTCAGGCTAGAATGCAATGGCACAATCTCGGCTCACTGCAACCTCTACCTCCCAAGTTCAAGAGATTCTCCTGCCTCAGCCTCCCCAGTAACTGGGATTACAGGCGCCTGCCACCACCCCCAGCTAATTTTTGTACTTTTAGTAGAGACAGGGTTTCACCATGTTGGCCAGGCTGGTCTTGAACTCCTGACTTCAGGTGATCCGCCCACCTTGGCCTCCCAAAGTGCTAGGATTACAGGCATGAGCCACCGCACAAGGCCAAAACACTCTTATTAAAATGACAAATAAGACAAATTTTGTCTTATTGAAAGACAAAATGATACTTCTAATGTAAAGTTAAATTGCGACAAAAGGCATACATGATAATTTAGAAAACAAGAAGTGTAGCTCTCAACTCTCCTCTGGGAGGGCTTTGCCATTTGATCCTTTTATGGGATATGGGGCAGGGAAAGGTGAGTGAGAGGACAGGCAAGGTGGGAAGAACAGCTGGAAGTAAAGCCTAGACGTGAATGAGAACAAGTTCACCAGTGTCAGCAGGGGCAGAGATTTTGCACTGGGAAATCTGAAAAAAAGAATAGCACATTAAGAATAGACATGAACTTCCTATGAAGACATTGTCAGAAAGCCATGAAGAGGTTTCAAGTAGGAGAGTTAAATGAGGTAAATGCTCAAGATTATTTATTTGACAGTCAGGACATTT